GATGACTAACTGAAATATACTGTTATGATGGCGTACGCAGTAGTCCAAAATACTTTGATCACTTAAAATCTTCTTCAAGCGATATTCCAAGATTTCAATTTGACAATATACATGCATTAAGAAACCACATATAAGAGTATCGCAGGCGACATTCACGCTAGCACAATAAAACGTGCTCAGAATTTGGTGAACATACGTAACGCAAAACATCATATAAGACGAATAATCGTACGGTACCCATTCTCTATATGTTAACTTTCTGTGTTTAAAGTCTGTAAGCAACGACATCAAACTCATAAATGTCCATGATGACGCAATCAAAACTGAGTAACGTAATGTGTTAGATCTAGAAGTTGATATCCAAAAGAAAATAATTCTTAAATAAAGGTTAGTATAATATGTAAATAATATGTAAATATGTAAATAAATATGTAAATATTTACCGTATTATTTTATCAAATTTTTGATGAATTTTCAATTCGCTTGGATCTAACGGTTTAAAAGGTTCTTCGTTAAGTGCAGTAATTAATGTCGTAACATTGTTATAATTTATCCACATTATCAGTAATTTAAAACCAGAAACGGACACATTTAACGCCATATATAAAATGTTAGTAAAGTCGTCGGGATTATCGACATTTATCAAAATGTCCATAAATTGTAAAAAAGCAAAAATATATAAAATGGTAATTATAAATAATCTGTAGAGATTGTAAATAACACGCATGAATAGCGATGTCCACGATAGCGGTCGAAAGCACCCAACAAATGTAACGATTAAAAATGTCAACTTTAAGATATGCATTTTTATTCTTTATTCAAATTAAAAAAATACTCGTATAAAACGAATTTGTTTGTTATGAGCTCTTTTATCAGTAATTTTTAAACAATACTTATTATTTTTAAGATAACTTTAACTTAATAGATTCTATATTGCACGAGAAGTAAAGGCAGGAACATAATTTCAAGATAGTGCACTTAGAAACGTCTATAGACATGTGACACGATTCTTTGACAATAGACAGTATGTCCTCTCTCTTCATACATATTTAATAACATTACCTTTATAATACCAAATTTTTAGCAACTCTTTTTAAAGTGATATTTATGCAAACTAGCAAGAGGAATTATTTGTATATGCAATTTTTTCTTATACAAAAGAGATACCTATTTTTATATATTATACCTTATAGAGGAAAAAAATTCTAATACAGCAAAGAAAGGAGAATAATTCAATGTAAGTACATTAATAAGATATGAGATGTAAATAATATCTTGCATTACCTGAATATACATATATCATATCTCGATACATTGAAGATAGAATATTTCATTTGATATTAGGGAAGATTGGAGCAAAGTGGAATAACAGAGTAAACCAGAATACTGTCATTTTTTGAACCTGCTTGTTATGATACCCAGTTGTGATAAATTGAATTATGTTTTGTGTCTTGAAGAACACGTTACAGACGATAGATGCCATATTTTGAGTTGTTAATAACAACATAGTGATGCACAATATCGATTCGTAATATTCGCTTTGTATATTTTCATGAAAATAAGTATCTATATTAAATTCAGTACTTTCTACTCTAAATTTCTAAAATTAATTAAATATAGTCTAAGATTCATTTTAATGCAATTGTTGTTATAAATCAATTGAATGTTCATTAAAACAATATAATTGTGATATTAACAATTGGGACAAAGAAATGAAGTATCCCATTTTGTCCCAATTTTTCAGTTACAATTTGCGACTGACACAAGCGCTGGTCGCGAGCTCCCATAATGTAGGATTTATACACTGCATACGACACGACGACGTTCAATAAAAGAATTGGTTTTCTAAAGATAAAAATGTTGCTAACTAGGATTGAATTTTGTTATTAGATATTGTATCCTATATAATCCTTTGCGGTTCGTACGCATGGTTGCGTTTGGTTGTTGCTTAGCGTCGGACTAAGTGTTATGCTACGTCTAAAATTTCCAAATCTAATTAAAACTGATGTTGAATATATTGAAATATTCATTATTTATGAAAATGTACAATAATTTTGTTTTCTTTATCTTTAATTTGTTTAAAATTAAAATTTTTATTATTTAGATAAACATTCAACAGCTATCTTACTCCCATGAGGCAAAATGGGCAGATTTAAAATAAGTTATATCAATATAATAAAATTAATGATATGTGAATGCTTTTATAAGAGATATTACATTTTTTCCTCTGATTATGATAATATACATATAAATGGATTAAAAGTTGTACATATTAAATATCACTTTTGTGATATTATATATATATAAATTTAAATTTTGTATTTAAATTTTTTATATATTTTTTTTGCTTAATTATACATATAAAAATACTTCCAAAATATAATGTAAAAGACGATGTCGTATAATATATATATATGTATTTTTTTACAACTATTCCTAATGAATAGACTAAGTATTACAATTATTACAATATTATTATAATTTATTTATAATTGTTATGTGCAACTTAATCTAAAATATCTATGTTTCATTTTGCTTAATTTTTAATTTTTATTTTTATTGCACTTGCGTTAGTAAATTATAAACAGAATATGACGTTTTAAGCAACTGAAATAATAAAAAATACTTATGATTATTATAAGTATAATAATATTTATATATAGATCAATAATAATTTATACAAGCAAATTTATAAAAGTAATTAGTAAAGTAATTTTATTTATTAATAATTAAATAAATTGCATGGTGCCCTGTTATAAGCAGTAATGAAACTTTTAAGTATTGTACTTTAAAATTATTTAGGCAAATTATTTGTACATTGAGATAAATTTTCATACTGACCGTTACAAAGGAATCCAAATTCATGGTCAGGATATATATAGTAGAAATTTCAATGGGTATCATTGCACGTTTCATAATTATTAATAAGCTCTTTTTTACACTATTGTCCATGATTGGCCACTCCATTTGAAAAATACTATCTACTAATTGAAGACTCTGTGGAATATAATATGTAATATTATTATATATTTATTGTTTCTAATGACCTGTTTTTTTTAGATCTACCTTTAATTTGACTTTGTTTCCAAACCAGCAATAAATAAATATCTGCGTTAACATACAGCCTGTGTATAGAATTAACGAAAAATGATCCACATTTAAAGTTGATTTAGTCAGTTGATACAAATTTGAACAAAATATCATCATACTTGCCATAAATTGAAATCCGATTATTTTGGTAAATTTTATATTCACTATCTGCGCAAACCTGCAATCAAGATTTTTACATAAAATCATAATATTTGTATATATCAAGCAAATAATAGTCTAAAGGTAGTTTGAAGAATATAAAGATTAATATTATTGCAATAATTATGATTGGAATACCAAGAATTATAAACTAATTCATGACATATATATGAGAATTAATTAACAGATTAAAGTATTAATAAAGCACTAATAAAAATGTCCATATTAAATATCGTGATAAAAACAATAGAAATTAGTAGAAATCAGTATGCAATAAATAATTATATTAGGCAATTATATTTAAAACAATGTGAATAGTAAACAGTATAAATAGTAAAATATATTTTGATGATTTTGCAATGCTATTAGCCATTCCAAAATTATATACAATTTTTAAAATTTTTCTTTATAATCAATGAAAATAGAAATTAAGAAGATATATGATTTTCACCACAGTTTTTTTTATTAAATAACTCACACATAGTAGCAATGCTGAATGATATATAATTTTCCGGCATTTAAATGATAACTAACTCAAAAATTCGATTATGATGATATATGCAATAACCCAGAATAAGTTGATTGTCCAAAAATTTTTTTAGGCGATATTCCAAGATCTCAATTTGACAACATATGTGTATCAAGAATCCGCACATGAGACTATCTATTGCGACATTTACGACGGCGCTATGACATGCGGTTACCATTTGTTGAACATATGCAAAACAAAATACCACATAAGATGAATAGTCAAATGGTATCCATTCTCTGTACTTCAGTTTCTTGTGTCTAAAGTCAGTAAATAGCGAAGATAAAATAACAAATGCACATGTTATCGCTACCAATATTATGTATCGTAATGTGTTGTTTCTGAAAAGTGATTAAATTGTTACATCTATATTATTTCTAATGCAAATTATAAAAAATTTGAACTATGAAATATTTGAAAAAATACTTTATTTTTATATTTTGCTGACAATTTATTGTTATTTGGCAGTAATACTACTAATTTATCTTATTTTATTATGGAAAAAAAAAATTTTTTATTATTAAATAATTTATAAACTTTTATGTGCAAATTTTTTATAATTCTAATTATCAATAAAAAACTTTTTAAATCAAGTTACATCTAAAATCTACATTAAAAATACTTATATATATTCATGTTGTGTACATAAAAATATTATAAAATAATAATTAAAATAGTTATGAATGAAATAATATTAAAAAAAATTAAATTAAACAGATTAAAAATTATTTAATTATAAAATATTTACCGTATTATTTTATCATATTGTCGTTGAATTTTTATCTCATCCGAATCTAATGGTTTAAACGGCTCTTCAGTAAGATAATTAATTAACGTTACAAAATTCTCATAATTTATACTTAAAATAAATATTTTATAGCATGAAGCTAATGTAGTTAGCATCATATTTAGATTGTTTGTGAAATCATCAGCATTATCGACACATAAAACAATGTCCATAAATTGTAATATTGTAAATGTATATAACATAGTCATTACGTATAATCTATAGATATTATAAACTATCTTTTTAAATAAAGATGTCCACGACTGCGGTCGAAAACATCCAGATATTATAACAGTTAAATATGTCGATTTCAGAATATTCATTGTACGAGTAGAAGTTTAATTGTGTAAGAAAAGAAAAAAAGCAAAAGAGATATGTATAACAGAAATGAGTTATATAATACGTGTCATTAACTTTGTTAGTAATTATGGAAACTTTCGGACAATATTCATTGCTCTCGAGATAATTTTAACTTAGTCTCTATTGTATGAAAAGTAAGATACAGTAAGAATCTCTATTGTATGAGAAATAAGATGCAGAGATAATATAGTTCACAGAAGAGTACACTATAGAATGTCTATATAGACTTATGACATTACTTTCCGACGGTAAAATTTTTCATCATCGATATTTTCTACTTACATGTGCATATTTAACATCAGTACCTCCACAATATCTTTGTAGTAATTGTCTTTAATGTAATATTTCCGTATTTTAAGATAATTGGATAATTTATTTCTGCATAAATTCTATCATATATAGAAGTAATATTTTTAATGTTACATTAAAAACAAAATTATAACATAGCAAAGAGAGGAAAAAAATTCTTCAAAGATTCATCAATAGAATATGAAATACAAACCTCGACAATATCTTGATATATTTGTCGTTGCTATAATATACATATTTCATTACATTATCTTCTATCTTTCGAAGAGAATTCTAATATTGATTCTTATATGCGCAACATAATCAGGCGAAGGAGTTCACGTTAGTGGTATCTATGTATTGTAAGACTATTATCGGACAAAAGAATTTAATATAATAATTAAATTTCTTTGACATTATATTTTCATTACATTGTTATTATGTAATTTCGATTTTTTCTTTTAAGAGCATCACATGATTTTTGTTATGATAAAGATTTCTAATCACTCCGCATAAGGATATTAAAGTAAAATCTATATATATTTATAAGGTATTACATATTTCAAATCCAATTACAGTAATATGTAGATATAAAATTTGTACATTTTAAATACAAAGAGTGTGACAATATTAAATTTAAATTTTATAATAATATTTATGTATATTTTTCAATAATATATGTAAAAATTCTTTCAAAATATAAAAGACAATGTCATATATATATATATATTATATATATTTTTTACAATTATTGCTAGTGAACATCAAAACGATTATTGATAATAGTAAACATTTTATAACAATTGTATTATAATGATTATATGCAGCTAATACTCTATTTATCCTTCTGTTTTTATTATTTTTACACTTGCGTTAATAAATTATAAATAGAATATGACGTTTTAATAAACTGAAATCATAAAAGATTATTATAGACGCAATAATATATATGTATACATATGTATACATAATAATTATCTTCGTAAGAAAATTTAAAAAAGTAATAGATTTATTTGTTGATATAATTTTTTTTAGATTAAATATAATTGTAAAATGTAAGTAGCGTAGCATTAAAATTTTATAACACCCTGATATATATTACTTAAAATGTTTTAAAATTTTATACATTAAAACAAATATTTTTGTATTGACCATTACAAAAGAATCCAAGTTCATTGTCAAAATATATACTGTAGAAACTTCAATAGGTGTCATTGCACGTTTCATAATCAATAATAAGCTCTTTTTGACACTATTATCCAAGATTGGCCAATTTATTTGAAAAATACTATCTGTTAATTCAAGACTCTGCGAAAAAAAAAACAATGTACATTTGAAGTATCATATCTGCGCGTTTCTAATATTCAATTTTATTAGATAGATCTTTAACTATCTAATTTAACTTGGTTTCCAAATCAGCAATAAATAAATATCTCCGTTAACATGTAAACATAATTAATGAAATATGATCTGAATTCAAAGTTGCCTTAGCAACTTGATACAAATTTGAACACGTTATCATCATACTTGATATATAAAAACTGAAATCCGATTATTTTTGTAAATTTTACATTCACTATTTCCGCAAATCTGCAATCAAAATTTTGTTTTTAGAAAGCCATATTTATAGAACAAATAATTCTTATAAACAATAAATTAATATTCTTATGATTACAATATTAAAAATTATTTAAAAATTCAGACATATATTAATTCATTAAAGCTGTAATAAAGCACTTCAAACAATACAGTAATGTATAAAGTACAGTAATGTAAAAAGTACAGCGAAAGAAGTCAATATAATAGACTAATAGACAGTATTAGGTACATTTAAGTATTTAAGCGTACAGGAACGTACATATTTACATTTAAAAATTTTTAATATTTTCCATAGTCACATTTCAACATGAATAAAATTTATTTTAGACAGTATTAGATACATTTAGGTATTTAAGTATACAGAAACGTATTTACATTTAAAAATTTTTAATGTTTTCCTTAGTCACATTTCAACATGAATTTTTTATTTTTTTTTAATAATAAAAAAATATGATAAAAAAAGTACATGACTTCTAAAATACTGGAGTATGTTTATTCATTGTTATAACAGATAAAATATTATTTCATAATACTAACATAATGTTAATTAAATTTTATTTTATTGTAAATTAAAAAGTATAATTCACATTATTACATTATTTGCAAATTTTTATTTGCAACTCTTTAAATAATTCTGCTAAATAAAAGTAAATAGAATAAAATTAAATCTTCAATACATTTTTAATTATACATTTACATTTCCATAAAATTTTATTAAAGCAATTAATATTTAGCAGAAAACAATATTAAATAAAGAATTGAAAATCACTCAATTTAAAAATATTACTGTATCATCTTGTCATATTGTTATCGAATTTTTATCTCATCCAGATCTAATGGTTTAAACGGTTCTTCAATAAGATTATCAATTAATGCTACAATGTCATCGTAATTTAAACACATAATAATCATTTTATATGCATCATAGCATGAAGCGGACGTGGTTAACATTAGATTTAGAATGTTTGTGCATCAGTATTATCGACGTTAAAAACAATATCCATAAATTGCAACAGTGAAAATGCATATAAAATGCCAATCACTTGTATACTGTAGATATTATAAAGTGTTCGTTTAAATAAAGACGTCCATGATCGCGGTCTAAGACATCCCGCGATTGTAACGATTGTATACGTCAATTTTAAAGCTTGCATTATGTCACGTCTAATTTTATTGTGGAAAAAAAAAACAAATAAATATAATGGGTTTTAGCTATCCAATATATATTATTAGTTTTGTTAGTTTAATTTAGAGATTTTTGATCGATATTCATTGTTTTCAAGATAACTTTGACTTGATAGAATCTCTTATTGTATAAGACATAAAATGAGATAACAATTTCAATAAGATTCTGTACACTGTCTATAGACTTATGACGCTATTTCTCTAATATTTTTCGTCGATGTTTCCTACTTCTGCGTATTTAATGTCTATGTTTTGCAATAATTATCTTTAATGCAATATTTCTACAAAAAAGAATTAGATAAACTAGAATTAGATAAACTACTTTTACATTTAATAAATTATTTTTATAAATGTAACTTTTATTATATAAATGTTTCTCATTGATATATCAAAATAGAAAATAACACAATAAAAAAAGAAAATTACTTTAATGATTTATCAATAAAATTTGGACCCCGATGTACATATATCTTCATATATGTCTCTCATCATCGTATAATATATCAGTCACACGCTATAACATATCGCAACTTGTTTTAGCGCTGAGATACTACCGTGTGTCCTGATTTCATTATATTATCATTTATTCTTTCTCTTTGAGAGAGAATCTCGATTCATTCACATTCTAATATTGATTTCTATACACAACATAACCAAACAAATTAAGAGGTCCACGTTTTAGAGGTACGCATTTGTAAGACAAGCCAAATACACACACAGATAAAAGCATTTAGAAATAATAATTTCTGACATTACATTTTATATGCTATTATACAATTCTGATTTCTTCTTTTAATAGTATAATATTTTTTGTTATACTTTTAATCATTTCAAAAAAAATATTAAAGTAAAATCCATAAAATATAAACGATATATTACATATATATAAACAATTTATTACATATTTTATTTTTAGTTATAATATAATAATATATGAATATAAAATTTATACATATTAAAATAAAGAGAGTTTATAGTATTATCCAAAAATTTTAAAAATTAATATTCGATTTAATTTATATTTAATTTTTTCAATTTAATAAATTTAAATTTTGCAACAATATTTATATATATATATTTTTTAATATATAAATATATATATATATACTTTCAAACAAAATATAAAAGACAATGTCGTATACATTTTTTACAGCTATTGCTGATAAAGAGAGTAAACATTAAGATTTTATAGAACAATTCTTTATAATTGTTTTATAATAATTATAGTTGATAATGATTATGCAATTAATCTCTTAAAAATACTTTATTTATCCTTTTATTTTTGTTACTCTTTCACTTAGATTAATAAATCAATAATGTTCTTACTTGTACATATTTAATATCTGTAAGTTACAATAAGTGTCTTGAATGCATTGTTTTCGCAATAGAATGGAATGAACTACTTTTCCATTCAAAAAATTATTTTTACATTCAATTTTCATTATATATTGTAGAAGATGTTTCTCATTGTTATATCAAGATAGAAAACAAATAACGCAACAGAAAGAGAAGAAAAAGTTCTTCAAAGACTCATTGATAAAATATGAGACCTCAACAATATGCTTATATTTTAATACTTACACATATATCATCGCGCACGCACTATATAATATGTTTCATTATATTATCTTTTATTATTCAAAAAGAATCACGACATTCATTAATTCTTACGTTTAACGTAATTAGATAAAACAATCACATCAGATTCTTTTTAAAGGTATGCACTTGTAATATAATAATGAAATAGAAAAATGCTTTCCATTTATTCACTACAAATACTGAAAATCTATAATTTAGATTATGTATACTATAGATTTTTAGTACTTACGGTGAATAATGGAACGTAACCTGAACAAATCATAAGTTTTTTTAACGATATATTATTATGTGCGATAATGCATGTATGCATTAGGCGTTGTCCTTTTTTTGTTTTTTTAATACTATGATTTTTCGTATGATTTTTTTAATTACTTTCTATAAAATAAAATAAAATAAATAAAACATTTTATTAAAAATAATACATTTATGTCAGATTGTAACAAAATATAAATCTAATATATTTTTATAATATTAAAATACAAAATATGTATTAGATGATTATGTTAAACTTCAATTTGTTTTCATGCTTCTTCTGATATACTCGTATAATATAAAAATCATTATCAAATATAAAAAGCTGTGTATGTATACATTTATTTTTAATATTAAGATATTAACAACAATTATATCTTATTTTCATTGTTTAATTATATCAAATAAATAAAGATAAGTATTTGTTTTACTTGTTTCCCAATTTTTAGTATTCTTGCACTCGTACTAATAAATTGTAAACAGAGTACGATGTTTTAAGTAACTGAAATATTAAAAAATAATTAAAATTATTATACACATACATAAATATATTATTATATTTAAATTTATTATTAGTTTTTTATAAACAAGTACACAACAAGTTTACAAATTATTTGTATATGAAAATATTTATAAATTCTCTTATTCAATAAAATAATTTTTATTATTTGAATATATTGTAATTAGAAACACAAGAATTTATTAAATAATTATTCAAGAACTGTTTTAATTGCATTAATAAAATGTATACTGTTATACCGACCGCCACAAAAGAATCCAAATTTATGGTTAGAATATATACAGTAGAAATTTCAATGGGTATTATTACACGCTTCATAATTACTAAGAGACTCTTCTTGATGCTATTGTCTAAAATTGGCCACTCAATATGAAAGATGCTGTCCGTTAGTTGAAGGCTCTGTAGAATAATACGTAAAATATTTTATTTGGCATCTTTAATAATTTATTTTATTTGATATACCTTGGATTTAACTTTGTTTCCAAACCAGCAATAAATAAATATTTGTGTCAACATGCAACATGTATACATAATTAATGGAATATGATTTGTGCTCAAAGCCGAACTGGTCAATTGATACAAATTGCAGCAAATTACCATCGTACTTGCCATAAACTGAAATCCGACTATTTTTGTAAATCTCACATTCACTAATTGAGCAAATCTACAATATAATTTTTGATTTTAGATCGTTATAATATTCATAAAAATTAATAATGTATATGTCGTCATAAATGAATTTTATTATTATATATCGCAACATAAAAATTATGAAATATTTGTAAATTAAATTTAAATTAACGTATTTAATAAGGTAGTAGTTAAAATATCTATTTTAACTAGCAATATGACGGAAGTAGTAGCAATGTATTATATATAATTTTTTTAGCGATTATATAAAGTATATACATTTTTTTTTGCTTAATGTATAAAATCTTAGTTCTATTTTTTTTCTTTTTTCCTTTGTAATCCGTAAAAAATACGGATGGAAAAGAAGATAAATATATGATCTCTCTATCATCATTTTATTAAAAAATACTTTTGAAAGCAATGTTAAATAATAAATAATTTTCTGGCATTAATATGGTAACTAACTCTAAAATTCGATTGTGATGACGTACGCAAAAACCCAGAGTAAATTCATTATTTGAGATATTTTTTAAGCGATATTCCAAGATCTCGAGCTGGCAACATATATACATTAATAAGCCACATAGGAGAGTATCACAAGCGACATTTACGCTAGCGCAATGGAAAGTACTTATCATTTGCTGAGCGTATGTAAAATAATAAGTCATGTAAGACGAGTAATTATATGGTACCCATTCTCTATATGTTAATCTTTTGTGTCTAAAATCAGTGAATAATGATATGAGGGCAATGAACGAGCATGTTGTTCCGATCAAGCTCGTATAACGTAACGTGTTGTTTCTAGAAAATAATTGAAAAAAATTGTTATATACAAGTTCTAAGCTTTAATATGAATTTAATATGAATTTTTAATTGTACGCATTTATTTTTTATAATAAATAATACACCTACTACATATTATTTTTAATAGTACTATATAATTAAATTTAATTTTTTATCAATATAAAATTTAAATACGTTTTTTTTAATTTTTCTTATTATACATATATACAATATTAAAAGAAACTATAATAGAATAAAATTAAATTAAAAAGATTAAAAATTATTTAATTAAGATATATATTTACCGTATTATTTTATCGTATTGTCGCTGAATTTTTATCTCACCCAAATTTAATGGTTTGAATGGTTCTTCGATAAGACAATTAATTAATGCTGCAATCTTCTCATAATTTAACCACACGATAAACATCTTATAGCATGCAGCAGATGAAGTCAAGAGCATATTTAAATTATTAGTAAAGTCGTAAGGATTATCAACATTTAAAACAATGTCCATAAATTGCCACATTGAAAAAAAATATAACATGCTAATTACATATAACCTGTAAATATTATATACTGTCTGTTTAAACAGAGATGTCCACGAAAGTGGTCGAAAGCATCCAGCGACTATAACGATTGTACGTGTCAATTTCAAAATGTGCATTATTAATTCTTTCGTTAAATTAAGAAATAAAAAATATATATATATAATTTCATTTGAATATATAACGTATGTGTGTGTGTGTGTGTGTGTATTGTCAATTCTTTTTAATTCGATAGAAATCTTTGAATAGTATTCACAACGATACGTTTCTAACTTTAACTTGACAAAATTTCTATCATACGAGTATGATAAGAAGAATCAAATAATATTATTTCACGAGAGTGCACCAATAAATGTCTATAGACATGTGATGTGTTTCTTCGATGGTGACTATATTTCTCTCTTCGATGATATTTCTTTTATATTTCTTTTACTCTACACATTTAATATCTGTATCTTTATGTAATATAAATATATGGTACAATAATACTATAATACCAATGTAAGATAGTAGAATATAGTAGTAGAATGCAAGAAGCTAGTACAATTACTTCTATATTTGCAATTTTTATGATACAAGAGACATACTATTTTCATTTTTACATCTAGATGGAGAGCAAACTCGTAATACAATCAAGATGGGACAATAAATTTCTAAAAGTTTATTAATAAAACATAAAAACATAATCGCCTTGTACATCACTTGTCAATATGTAAGATATATCACTTATTATCTTCAATTTTAGAAGACAAGATACATCGCTCAGTATTGATTGCTACAATATACATGAAATAGAATCAAGAAGTAGTTTAAAGCTGTGCGTTGTGAGACTATAGTCAAACATTCAGAAAAAAAGTTCGAAAAGCTTACAATGACTAAGTTTTGATAATATTATGTTTTATGCATATGCACGATACAATTGTGTACTTTTTTTACGGTAATTCCTTTTATATCACTATTTGTATAAAACAGTATTATACAAAACTTCTTCACATAAGATAAGTCATATTTTATCGTATTTATATATATATATATATATAGTGAAATGTGTAAATATACATATTTATATATTTATATATTTTATATTTAATAATATATTATATTAATAATATATATTTTATATATTTTTCTTCAGTTACAACAATATTTAACATTAATATTATTATTTCACAATAATTATCTTATTGCAATTTTGTTACAATTACAGGAAAGCCCCTTATTATGAGATAGGCGCCTAATATGAGATAGCAGCGTTTCTGCTAAATTAATAAACACTATTGGTTCCGCCATGAATTTATTGCTCTTGGATTGAAAACTATTTAGAAAATTTATTATTAGATCATGCTTGTAGTCATTGTAAAACAAAATTTTAGAATTTGGATGTCTTCAAGTTTCATTGAGATGAGCATTTAAACTTGTTTATTATTTAATAAAAAAATAAAAATATTTGGCAATAAATTTTTCGTGTAATGATAGAATAAGGTCGTACTAATAGAAAAATACGAGACATGTTAAATTGTTTAATTATAGAAGTTAGATTTAATGATCGTAAAACCATAAGACGTGGAAATCGTAATATGCGATACTCAAGGTATTCCTAATATGAAATAACCATGCTTCTATGTTATAGTGAAAATCATTGCTAAAGTATAAATATTATTGTACAATAATAAAAAAGACAACCGGAATGAATGCGATGCTTGATTCCAACTATCTGAAAACGAATTCTGAGTATAATTCGCATACTCATTTTTCGCGCACGCTGGCTGTGTTTGTTTGTATTTTAGAAACATTAAATAAAGTTTTTGAATTGCAATACTGATATACTTTGCGTTTTACTATCGATTTCTCGAAGCATCTCATATTAGGAGCACAATTTTTTGACTTTGCAATTTGCTTATTTTTTATATTTCTTTAATTTAAAAAAAAATGGAGTTGAATTAAATTTTACGTAACGTTATCTTAAAGCTTATTAAATTCCCTTTAAAATGACCTATTATTTTTTTCTAATTCTGACTATAGACTTCTAGCATTTACCCAAAATGAACTCGATATCTCATAATAGGGGTCTTTCCTCTATATGTTTATATATTAAATTAAGTTTACACTTTTTTCTATTTATAAAAGAAAGAAAGCGGTTATGGAATTATTGGGCGGTTATAGAATATTACAATATTTTGTATAGTTTAAGCGGTATATTTGGCGACTATCAACATTACTTCTTCACAGTGTGCTTAAACGTTATAGTGTGGCTATTGGCGTTTACTGCATTGTCAGTTTTGCAGATAGTGTAGACAGTGTTTTACAAGTGTACTGTTTACTTAATTTTGACAAGTATGTTTGTATTAATTTTGTAATTTAATTTGAAGACTTTGAATACGGCTTCTAAATGATATAATAGTTAAACTAAATTTAGTAACAAAATGTATGCATATCAGATGTATAAAATTATACTCTATACTATCAATACATAGTAATCCATATAATGTTCCATATTCTCCTTTTATTCCATAATCACAACCTTTCTTTATCTTTAATTTTTTATAAATTATGTTTTGTATTCTCGAAAAACTTTTACCTCTATAATTGATACCATTCTATGGCTAACAAAAAGTACTAATGTTACATGAATATCTATTAAGTTATTTCAATAAAACAAAATAATATTCCAAAATCTTCTTCTATTTCTGCATTCTTACTATTCTTGGATTCGTACCAATAGATTATAAACAGAGTATGATGTTTTAAGCAACTAAAATAATAAAAACATTTCAGATTATTATAAAAATGTTTATACTTATAAATTCGCCAATGTAATTATTTACATATAAAAATTTATGAAATTTTATAAATACTATATTTATTCATAATAGGCATAATTCTTATTATTTAAACTAATTGTAATTAAATAAACAACAATACAGTTTTATTTTTGATATATTTTTATTATTTTATTATTTTAATTATTTTAAGATTAAAATAAATGTATTAAAATAAATTTTTACACAAACCGCTACGAAGGAATCCAAATTTATAGTCAGAATATATACAGTAGTAATTTCAATTGGTGTCATTGCACGCTTCATAATTATTAAGATGTCTTTTTTAATACTATTTTCTACAACTGACCACTCCATTTGAAAAATACTGTCTGTTAAATGCAAACTCTACAGAAAAAAATGTTTAATACAATATATTATTTATCAAACAATTTGTTTCATAAATATACCTTTAATTTGACTTTGTTTCCAAACCAACAATAAACAAAAATTTGTATTAGCGTGGCACATGTGTACATTATTAGCGCAAAATGATCTGCATTTAAAGTTGACTTAGTCAGTTGATACAAATTAGAACATGTTACCATTGTACTTGCCATAAGCTGAAATCCAATTATTTGTGTAAATCTTGTATTTACCATCTGCGCAAATCTGCAATCAAGTTTATTTTTAGAGTATTGTAATATTATTATATTCTAAGTTAATAAAATTTAACCATTATAACTATTTTTTAAATAAATTGTTGCAATAGGAAATTCTGAAAAATTATAAAATATATGTAAAATAAACCAAATAAGATATTAATAAAATATTAATTTAGATATTAGTAAAAAATATAATAAATACGATAATAGGTAAATATCTAAAATCAGTAATAATAAGTTGTTTATCAACATAAGTTATATATTTATAAAATTTAAAATTTACTTAAATAAATAACATAAATGACATAAGAATTAATATTTTTTTCTTTGCAATAAATAAAAATAGAAAAATATAATACTTTTATCACAATTTTGTCCAATAACTAACACATAAAAATAACATAAAATAAATATACAGAGTGTCCCATTTTAAAGGATCTACTAAAATATCTCGGAAACACTGTGTTTTCAAAAACTGCGTTAAATTGAAAAATGTTTCAGAAAGTTTTTTGATTGAAAATATTTTGTCATTAAGTCGGACACCTTGGAGAATGCTAATGCCAACGGTACTGTAACTTTCAAGTCTTATAACTCGCGAAGTACTTAATGACAAAATATTTTCAATCAAAAAACTTTCGTCTGAAACATTTTTCAATTTAACGCAGTGTTTCCGAGATATTTCCGTGGATCTTTTAAAATGGGACACCCTATATAACTTTCCATCATTAATATGTGTGTTTGATAACTAACTCAAAAATTCGGTTATGGTGGCGTATGCAATAGCTCAGACTAAATTGATTGCACAAATGTTTTTTTAGGCGATGCTCCAAGATCTCAATCTGACAACATATATGCATTAAGAATCCGCACAGGAGAGTATCGCAAGCAACATTTATGGAAGCACCGTGGAACGTGCTTAATAGTTGCTGACCATATGTAAAACAAAATTTTGTATAAGACGAATAATCATACGGTATCCATCCTCTGTATGTTAATCTTCTGTGTCTGAAGTTAGTGAGCAACGACATCAAAGTCATAAATGTCCATGCTGTCGTAATCATGATCGTGTAGCGCAAAGTATTGTTTCTAGAAAGCGACTGAAGAGGTTGTCACATCTATGTTATTTTTAATACACATAAGTTTCGATATTAAGTATTTAAGAATGATTTTATTTTCATTCCATTATTACGGAGTATTAATTACGTTGTGATAAATTAGGCTTTATTTTAATACATAATTAATTGAGTTAACTTTTTGTTATTAAATTATTCACAAATACATATATGCATTTATTTTAAATATCTTAAATTTTAATTTAAAAAATAAATTAAAATCTAGTAATGGTCTGACATAAGTTTTTAAAAATATTGCATGTTTAATACTAAATAAAAAAATATTTAGATTTATATTTGCTAAAAACTTAAAATTTATTCGTACAAAAAAATATTTACCGTATTATTTTATCATATTGTCGTCGAATTTTTATTTCACCCAAATCTAATGGTTTAAATGGTTCTTCAGTAAGATAATTAATTAATGTAATAATGTTTTTATAACTTGAAGAGGCAATATAAAACTTATAACACGAAGCTGACATATTTAACATCATATTCAAATTATTAGTGAAGTCGTTAGGATTATCAACATTTATAACAATGTCCATTATTTGTGAGAATGTGAAAGTATACATCATGCTAATTACGTAAAATCTGTAGATGTCGTAAATTATCCATTTAAACAAAGACGTCCACGATTGCGGTCGGAAGCATCCAGTAATCATACAAATTGTACGTGTTAATTTCAGAATGTGCATTATGAAATCTTATTTGTCATTAAAAGAAAGATACGTACATCTGTATCCGTTTACAACTTGTATTATCAACTATTGTACTGACTAAATGATTAGATAGAATTTTTTTAGCAATTTTAAATGTTTTCACAAAAATAATTTTACAAACTTTTACTATAGCGTAAAATGAAATTTAATATAATTTGAAAAGAGTACACTAAGAAATATCTAAAAACGGGACACAATTCTTTGATACAATATTTTCTCGTTTCTTCTGTATATTTAATTCTCAGTACTTATACACTTCCTGCGAATTTATATCTATATACATTCAGATATTTCTAATACGGCATTTCCTTTTCCTTGTATCTCGGATTATAATGCATTGATTTTAATTAATTTTTTTTAAGTCGATTATTTAAAAACTGAAAAGAAAGAATTTTTGAAATGAGGAAGTCTAAAAAGTCATACAACAGAAGATATTTTCCAATAAGTAAAAAGAGATCGGATTAAAAGAGATGAAAAAACAAATTCTTTCAAAATCTCATAGTTTAATAAAAAAATTAACAATAAGAAAGTTTTATCAATGATAAAAAAAAATTAGTGATAAATCAATAGCTGTAAGTAAGTTGAACAAGAAACCACAAGCGATTTTCCGATCTGTTCTAAAAAAGATATTTTTTTTTTAGAAAGTGGAAATACTCTTTTAGTTTTATTTAAACTAATTATATGACCGACAAACTTTAAAATTTTGAAATAAATGAAAAAAACACTCCTATCGTTAGATAAATGAGAAAAAATTTTTTGCAGTAAATATTAATTTGCAAGAATTACAATAATAATCTTAGTATTGTCCAATCAGCACACAATATTAAAAAAATATTTAAAACATATTTTTTTAATATTATTTAATGTAAAAAAATTAAGTAATTGTTTAAAAAATATTTTTAAACATTCTGTACTGATTAAATTCCTCTCTCTGACATTAAAAGTACAATAAAACTGTACTTAAATCATTTTTATGATGTACACTCCTGACACGAATCACAAATAATCCAATTAATTATTATACTTTTACTTACATTTTAACTTTTTTGTAAATTTTGATTTCCTGACAATTTACCCACATTGGGTTAATATAATCTCAGTACGCACTCTTCAACCGTCGCAGTTCTATCGCTAATAGCGCAAGGCCGCTAAGCAAGGAAATTATAGAGAGAATACACAAATTTTTCCTCTCAAGCTTTAGCGTCACACTGCACAAAGTGTGTCCAAATATCTAAACTATGAAAATCGGCCTAGGCTATAATAACTCAAATAGGAGAGTTCTCTTATACTATAGGTTTATATCTGTATCATTGTAATATATGTAATAGAGTCTGTTAAAAGTAATATATCAAACTTGTCGTAACTGTCTATAGTATAATATTTATGCAAGATAGTTGATAGAATTACATCTATGTGCAATTTTTATTGTAGAAAATGTACTACTTTAATTTCTACATTTAGAGAGAAAGAGAAACAGAGAGGGGCGAGGAGAGAGAGAGAGAGAAAGAGAGAGAGAGAGAGAGAGAGTACAGTAGTAATATAGAAGAAATGAGAGAATTAACTCTACTCTGCAATCAATATGATATGAGATATAGGTAATCTTCATAATATCTTGATATATACATACTATTTATACAATATTGATACAGTATATATTTTGTTTATTATCGTTCCCGGCTAGAATGTGATGTATCATTCAGTATTGACTTCTACGTATTATAACCAAACGGAGTAATACATTCGAGGAACGCATTTGTAAGACTATATATTGTCAGCTAAGAGAAATTTACAGATCTTAATAATATCTAAATTTCTATGACATCATATTTTTCATATTTGCAATAATGTAATTAAGTGATAATGATGTGTAAGTTTTATTCTATTTAGAATAGAAATATATTTACAAATTTTATTAAAATTTATTACTCTTTCTTTCACTATTGTCCTGTACATAAAAATATTAAAATATTATACAAAAATAAATGTTTCACATTCTGTTACATAGTTTTATATAATATATATTCTGCTGTAAAATACAAAAGATGATTAAAAAAGCAGACATTATCAATTGCTGAAATGTTATTTTCAATCTTATTTTAATTAGAGCAATAATTATTTACACCTCTATACAATTAAAAATATTTAACATTTATTACTAATTATAATACATCTAATACTAATGTATTAATGCATTATTATGGAAATTGACAAATTATGCATTAATGAATAATATCAGCACTTTTTACTTGCCTTTATACTGTTATTCCTGTACTTGGGATAGTAAATTATAAGCAGAATATGATGTTTTAAGCAACTACAATAATTATAAATATATTTAAATTTCAAAATCGTTAACAAAAATAATTCAAAATTAATTTGTTAACTTATTGATTCTTGTAATTATTCATTATATTCTTACTTGTAATATGCATATACGTGGTAAAAAATACTTTTTTGAAAATATTACTTTAAAAAAAGTTTTATCACGAGGTAAAAAAGATAGAAATTTTATTATGGTGACTTATTATATTATAGTTGATCCACTATTTTGAAATACTTAAATTAAAGTATGTGATTGGAAATTTCTTTTACTTAATGGCTAAGGAAAAGAGCGAAAGATAAAATAAAAGATTGAACGAAAACAAAAATGAGAGAGTGAGTAAGATGAGAGTCATCGAAAAATTGAATAAGCATAACAAATCTATACTTCATAATACGCTACGAAATTCTATTTTTATGTTATACTTTATACTCACCGCTACAAAAGAGTCTAAGTTCATGTTAAGAATATATGCACTGTTAAATTCAATAGGTTTCATTGCGCGAGTCATAATTACCAAAAGACTTTTTTTAGTTTTAAGGTCCAATGCTATCCATTCTATTTCGAAAATACTATCGACCAGTTGAAGACTCTACATATTTATGACATAGTATAATGTATTACATGTTTTACTTTTAAGCTCTTAATAAGAAATATGTACCATAATTAATATATGTATAAATACATATAGTATACATAATACACATGTTTATGTACGTGTACATAATAATTTCAAATACGATAATATTAGTATGCATACCATGAGTTTCAGTTTATTTCCAAACCAGCAATAGATAAAAATTTGTACAAGTACGCACAATGTATATGCAAAAAACGCAATAAAATCTACAATTAATTTAGTTCTAGTTAATTGGTACAAATTTGAGCAGACTACGAATGTACTTGCTACGAATTGAAACGCAATCATCCTCGTGAATCTCTTATTAGTTGCATATGCGAATCTGTAAAAAATTTTTTTTATTCTAAGAATTAAAATTAAATCTTTCTTGAAAAAATTATAAATATATAAAAAATAGCTGTCACGTAATATTTAATATCAATAGTCAACAGAAGACATAAAGTATTAAGATAATAAATTTAATATTGCAATTTAAAGATAAATATGAATATATTACATAACTATACAAATATAATAATAAGTAGAATAAATAGAAATAATGTTACAATAAAAAATCCACCTTTTCGGATTTGAAAATATATTAATAAAAAAGTAAACAAAACAAATTTGGGTATTATATTACTAAATTTACAATTAATTATTAAATATTTTACGTTAAGTCTAATAAAATATTTACAAGACTAACTCGATTATGTGACGATGTTGGAGTACACAGTCACGTAGAGTATTCTGGCCATTTATAAGACTTTTCAAACGATACTGTAAGATCGTAATTTGACAGCACACATGCAATAACAAACCAACAATGAGACTGTCACAAGCAACGCTAACAAGACACGCAAATATCACGCCTACATATTGATGAGCATATGTAAGAGAAAATAATATGAATGACGAATAATTATATGGTATCCATCCTCTAAATGCTAACTGCCTCTTTTTGAAACTTGTCAGTAACATTATCAAAACATGGCCTGTGTAAGTAATCATAATCAGTATGGTATAGCACTTTGCGATGAACCTAAAAAAATACTAAAAGTAATTTTGCCTTTATTTCAAGACAAAAATTATTTATCTTTTAACCCTAAATGATCACTGGAAGTCATCCCACCAAAGTTTGAACTAAATTTTCACCAACTTAAATTTCGAAATAACGCCTAATGCTCCATCAGTAGTTTGAGTCTCTAACTACATTACCATACGGTTGGCGTGCCGTAAAACGCGTTAACAAAACGCATTAGATTATTTATTTTTAAATCATCCCAATCAATCTTTAAAATAAATACCTTTTTTGAAATAGCCCGCTATTGCAATAATTTTTTTATCGAAATGCAGCATTTGAAGGCTTTATCCCTAAAATTTTACGCAAAAATATTAAAAAATAAAAAATTTGACTATTTTTAATTTAAAAAAAGTCACTTTTCACTAGACTTTCATTTATGAATTTTTTTTACTATTTTAAAATTATTAGTTCAGCAAAAAACCAATGCAAATACATATTTTGAAGTTTAAACAATGTCTCTAATTTTTTTTTATCCTATACCTACGAAAATTAAAGCTGTGGCAGCCATTTAAACGTGTTAAAGATCATGATACCCCCGTGTGATCATTACATAATTTTCGCGAAGCGTGATCATCTAGTGTTAATTAAAAAATATTCTTTTGCCTCTATATACAATATAAAATTTATAATATAAAAAATATACAATAATATAAATATACAAATAATTTAATTGTATTTGTACATACACATAATATTTATAATTAATAATATTAAAATACAATATGGTAAACATCTTCGGAAAAGAGAAGTTTCAATAATATTTTAATTTTTTAAAATTTCTTTAACAATATTCCATATTTAAAAGATAAATAGCAAATTATTTTCGAAAATATTTCTTTATTATTTTTTTCAAATAGTCACTACCTATAAATTAAATAAAACGTAAATCAAGACAAAATTTTTTTGTACTCACTGTATTATCTTGTCAAATTTTCCTTGAATTTCAATTTCAACAAGTAGCAATGGTTTAAATGTTCCTTCCGTAAGATTTTGTATTAACTCCGCGAAACTCTCGTGATTCAGAAACAGATTGAGTATTTTATAGTCTGCAGCGAACATAGTCAACATTGTGTATAGAGTATTAGTAAAATCATCTGGATTATTAACGTTCAGGACAACATCCATAAATTGTGAGAATGTAAAGCTGTACATGATACTAATTACTAATAATGTATAGGCGTCATATAATGCATGTTTGATCAGCGAAGTCCACGAAAACGGTCGCCAGCATCCAGCAATTGTGAGAATTGCGAATATGAATTTTAGCGAGTTCATATCCTTCAAATAAAATATCTTTAAATATCTAAACGTAGAAAATGCTTCTTTTTTTAAAAAATTTCCACAATTGCATTAACCTGATATGTACAAAACATGATCAACTATGTAATTTGTGTTTTAACGTTTTGAGTTCTTCGGGAGCTTCTTTGGTATTTGTGTTGCGTGTTATTGTCGTCAATCACGGATTAACTGAGGAGATATGGATTTTAAAACGTCTATAGCTCGTGATATTTTTACTGAATTTTCCCCTCGAATATGTAACATCGTAACAGCAAACTTACACTGACGTTTTCTGTGAATTGACGTTTTCATGAGAATTTCATTCTTATACCTATATATAGTAATATAAGTTGTTGACAAGAGGAGTTTAGATGTATGAAATTTTGATACATTGTACTCGTCCATTATAAAATATTTTATTCATTGTCGCTGTCTGCGACAACTTCAGTCTTCCTCAGTCAGGCGTTCCCTGCGTCTTTTTCTCGATATCTGTATGCATTTTTTATTAAGTATAAACACGGAAAGCAAGATAGTTTCAATTTATTCATTTCTGCAACGTGAACACGTGACACATTGAATAATATTTGAATTAGATAGAGGTAATAAACAAAGTAATTTATTCCTCATTTCCATAGGATTTCTTAACTTTACAATGTATATCTTTTTAAACAAGTTTACGAAAATTCTGTAGAAAAAATACAATCAAATTTCGATCGGATAATGACGGTATTTACGATACTGATAACTTTAAAATTTGCATATAGATATTGTCTATAGACGATGTTTTTTCCGCTTACCGATTTCTATTCAATATTCATTATCATCATGTAGAAATGTCGCATTTACTAGTAGGATTTTTACATTTTTATTTCAAGTTGAATTCTTAGGGAATCTTTTATTTGTAGTGTCTTATGCGCTATAATGAGCCAACATAATAAGCTACTATTTTCATAAAAAACTATG